CACAGATTGCAAGCCCAGTGCCACTTTGAGATCTTTGGCAGCAGTCACTCTACAGCTCATGTGGTTGAGTCTGTATGATAATGAGTATTCAGAGATGGGTAATGCTTGGGGGGGCTGCCATCAACCTAAGACAGAGCACTTGTGTGGCCTGGGCAGGTGTCTCTATGACGGGTAAGGTGGTCTGCTGACATCCCACGCAACCTAAGTCAGAAGCTCATTTAATGAAAAGGGGGGAACTGTGGGCGCCATGGGCCCTGGCCCCCGACTGTGAGTGGCTGCCGCCTTGCTTGCTGACCTTGATCAGATGTCCTCCCTATTCAGATTCCCTGCCGGTATTCACCCTTCTGAATGCTTAAGAGAAGTTCCTTGTTTGTGTATCCTGCATATTGGGCGTTAACAACTTAGATGCAAGAATGTAGAACATTGGGTCTGGAATGTAGACCATTGGTAGCGAACTTCTGCCCTCCGGGGGTTCCTCCAGTTGTGTTGTAAGCCTGTATTTAAGGTTTCTTCCCTCTTTCAATAAACGGCATTCAGCATTCGGCATTCAGCCATGGCAAATGACTCGCTGTCTCTTGTCTCTATTTTTAATCCACAGCCCTTCGCTCGGACATGGTGAACGGGTATCGGTAATGCAGGCGTTACCACTACATGTGATTTCTTAATCTTGCAAGTTGTTTGTTTTTAATTTCCTGTTTACTTTGGTAATATTACATCCTTCTAAGTTCTCTGATGGAGTTAAAGACTAGATGGTTATAGTCTTCCTTTTGAACAAATTCAGAAAAGACACTCATAAAAGAGGTGTAAAGTGTATAAGGTTGAGAGACATAAAAAGATAGTTTTGGGTTTGTAATGCAAGTTAGGCTAGAAGGTGAATTAGGTAGCATACTTTGGACTCACCAAAATAGGATAGATAATGGAAGTGTATTCTCTTAATTTGTCAAATGTTAATGGACTAGACATGGTGAATGTAATTATTGCCTTATATATTTATATATAGTTATTGTATATAGTTTCTGTGTTCATCAAAACCTTCACTTTGTATTTAGGCAAAAAGGGAGAAATGTTGTGTGATATTTTGTTTGTGTTTAGACAAATAAGCTTGCCTGGACATCAGAGGGTAGAGTTTAGCCACTAGTTAACCACAGAATCTTGGTGTGGGTAGCTCATGCCTTTAATCCCAGGCTTGGGATTGCTCTTTATTATGGGCTCTCTTGTGTGTTTGAAGATACCAGTGATTGTTAGAGCCTTTTGTACATGGATCACTTTTATAGTATCTTTATTCATATGAGTTTTTTTTCATATAATTGAAGAAAACTAGAAGAACTCTGAGCTTTACCACACTGTTTTCATTTATAACATTTTCCTTTGTGGTGAGTCACACTACATTTGCAAAATGAACCAGAACAAATAGAAGAATTTACACTCTTTTTGTATTTAAAGGACTTTTCTGTGGTGTGAGTTTGTTGATGTGTTTCCAATGAGATTTGAAAAGCAATTTTTTGTAAACTTATATCACATTCAGAAAGGCTATTCAAAGTAGGGACTACTACATGTCTTTTAATTGTTCTTGGTAAGAGAGAGATACATTGCTTCTTTCTGAAAGACCCTAGCCCTTCAGGCTTACACCCCCAAGCCTCAGGAAAAGAGAAACTTCAAGCACCAGGAAATGAGAAACTAAAAATCTAGTTCCAAGGGCAACCTGACTTAGCCATTGTTCAATCTCCCCTGCAACCATATAACAATGTAAAAAGATTTCTGTTAAGAGATGTGCTCAACTGTGACTGGGACAGTTGCAGGTGTTCCAGGAAGGACCACCGTGACCTTTGTGTAAACTCCACTCCCGCCCTGATACCCGCCTTGAAGTTTCAGGAGGAATGTACCTGTTGACAGTACCCCCTCTGTGATCACTCTGTAACCAGACCATGATCTTGTGAAACGAAATTGTATGAGAATTGTAATCTTGTGGGTTTTGTGGGTTTTTCCTTTATAAGCCCTTATGGGGCTGCAGTAAGGGGCGACTCTTGCTCTTGGGAGCAGAGGAGCCCTTCTGTATCACTTTCCATATCATTTATGCAATGTTAGCATGTTTCCACAGTGACTTATAGTATACCATTACAGAAAGAATAACAAAAGTTTCCATATTGCATTCCTAAACTGTATTTTTGTTCCTCATAGAGATGTGGTATAGATATTCTGCTTTTTCCTCATCAACCTTCTTACTTCTCATAAACTGACTCTGTCACAAAACTTTGATTACTCACCACAAGTTACACTAGCTTTACAAGGTAGTATTTGGTTATTAGAATATTTTGAACATACACTAATCTCCCAATGCACAGGTATGCCTTTTCCTATACCTAATAGCTAAGGATTTTCAACATGTACTTAATTCCTCTATTCAGAATACTCTGGACATGTACCCAATGTTTTAATTGAATTTTTGGTTTGTTGATATCTGTCTCACCATGGACACAAGGTGTCCTGACTCTGCCATGGTGAGCTCAGAATCCATGCAGAGCTGCGTAGTCTCCAGGCCCTAGTCTTCCATCTATCAGGCTTTGGGTTGGAAGCTGGGCAGGCTCCAGACATGCCAGGAGTCCTCTGAGGTTCTGGGTCCCTTCTCAGGGAGCTAGAGCCCTGCTGCAGTTTGCTCCACACAGCTTCACCTGGCCAGAGTTATCCTGGGGACCAGGCTGTGGCAGGAGTCCTAAGATTGCAGGACCAGGTGAAAGACCCTAACCCTTTAGGCTTACACACACACACCCAAGCCCCAGGAGAATAAGGAACTAAAAAGAAAACTAGTTCCAAGGGCAAGCTAACTCAATCATTATTCAACCACCCCTGTAACAATGTAAAAAGATTTCTGTTAAGAGATGTACTCAACTGTGACTGGGATAGTTGCAGGTGTTCCAGGAAGGACCACTGTGACCTTTGTGTAAACTCCACTCCTGCCCCGATACCCCCCTTGAGGTTTCAGGAAGAAGGTACCTGTTGACATAACTGTACCCCCTCTGTGATCACTCTGTAACCAGACTATGATCTTATGAAGTTAGCCTCTAGACATAAATCAATCGAAATGAAATTGTATGGTAATTGTAATCTTGTGGTTTTTGTGGGTTTTTCCTTTAAAAATGCCTATGTGACTGTAGTGTGATGCGACTCTTGCTCTTTAGAGCTGAGTTTGCCCTTCTGTACAGTTGCTGCTTCAATAAATCTCGTGCTGTTGCATCAACTGGACCAGAGTCTGGGTTCTTGGGGTACCCACTCAAGACCCTAAACCTTTGGGGTCCAACACAGGTCCTTGATCTAAGGGCTTCATGGAGTTGTGGGCTTGCAGCCTTTTTCCTGCAGCCAGCTAATATGAAAGGACTTTTGTCAGCTGGATTGTCCCAGCTCTTTGGTCCCAGGCACTAGCTGCCCCAGGATTTTCCTAGACCACTGTTGTTGCGAGGCCCCACCACACCAGTCTCTACTCAGTGTGCCATTTTTTGTACCCTATTTCACTATGTAGAGATCTCTCTGTAGGATGAGCTCTCTAACCATCCTGATTTTAGGTGTGTATCTTTTGCTGTCTCACCATTTCTTCCACTCAAGGCATTTATTTTCCTGAGTGCCATTCTCTAGGCTATTGAATAGAATCTGAATTCCCACTTAATCGCTGTGTACTACCCTCCCCTCCCTGAGCCTTTTCTGTGTGTTTGTTGCTGGAGATGGAGCCTAGAGAATGGATACTAAGGAAGTGCTCTGTCATGAGCCCACCCTCTAAGTAACAGGAGCATCAATGCTGATTCCAGCTGCCTAGGTGGCCAAGTTCTTCCCAGAGGCAAAGAATTGAATGCCCAGGGAGCAAGAAAGGAAGGATTCACATCTCTTGAAGCAAATGCATTCTATTGGAATGCTGGGGTCTTCTGAGAAGGGACATTTGGGGGTGGTCTTTGAGACAGTCCTTTTATTGGGCCCTGGGTCTTTCTTCCCATTGATCCTCTCTGCCTGCACTCCATCCCTAGCCCAGGCAGCCTTGGCCTGGATGGAGGTAACCAAGGCAAGAGGTCCTGGTTGAATGAAGACCCTTTTAGAAGTATTCTCCTCCTTAAGTGGGAAATTACTTTCTGTTTTCCCTCTTCACTCTCTCCCCTGCCTGCCTGCCCCTCTCATCTCCTGACTCCCAGTCTTGTTTCTTTCTCTTTTCTCTTTTGAGGCATGGCTTCACCCTGCAGCCCAGGCTGACTACAGCGTATGGTCATCCTTCTACCTCAGCCTCCTAGCACTGAGATTTATAAATATGAACCACCCCCCTCCTTCCCTGCAACTTTGCTTATTGGTTATTTCAGTCAGTCTGTGTCCTTTGGAGCATGCAGGCCATTGAAATTTAAAATTACTGAAATGTATTTCAGTAGTGGTAATGGTGTTGTTGATTTTTGGTAGTTTTCTTCCTCTCTGTGGTTATTTTGTGTTTTAGAAATTAAGACTTGGGGGCTGGAGGGATGGCTCAGCGGTTAAGAGCACTGACTGCTCTTCCAGAGGTCCTGAGTAAAATTCCCAGCAACCACACGGTGGCTCACAGCCACCTGTAATGAGATCTGGTGCCCTCTTCTGGCCTGCAAGGACACATGCAGGCAGAATACTGTGTACATAATAAATAAATAAATCTTTAAAAAAAAAAAAAGACAATGGCAACTCAACATTTTTTTAAAAAAAAAAAGAAATTAAGACTTGTATTTTTTCTCACAGTCTCACTCTCTGCTGTGCTCAATCCTCTCTTCAGGGAGAAATAAACTTATATTTCCCTTTGGTTTTAGTTTGTTGCATATAACTGTTTATGTCATGGAATGTTTTTCATTCTCCTTAAATCATCACAGTTTTGCTAGGCATATTATTTTAAGTCTGCTGTTGTCTTCTGAATTGTTTCCACTGAGAAATCAGCTATTATTCTGATATATTTACCTTATATGTGACTTGCATTTTTCTCTCACTCCTTGCAATATGCTTACTTTGTTATGTACACTTAGAGTTTTAGCATGCTCTGAGGATTTTCTTTTCTGGTCCTATCTATTTGGTATTCTGTGTGCTTTTTGTTTTTGCATGGATGTGTCTTTCTTTATTGTGGGGAGTTTTCTTCCATTATCATGTTGAAGCTCTTATCTGTAGCATGAATTTTAAAAGTTCTTATTAATAAAATCAAACCTGAGGCCTGTTATTGGGGTGAATACTGGAAGATCAGAGAGACAGAACAAGCAACAGCTAACCTTACCTGGCCAGCTTCTTAGCTGATCTTGTTTCCTCAGACTGGAAGCCTCTGTGTCCTCATATCTGAATGGCTCTCAGCTGAACTGTGCTGCTCAAAACCTAAAAGCTTAACCAGCCAAATGCTTCTAGTTTCTGGTGCTCATGTCTTATATACCTTTCTGCTTTCTACCACCACTCCCTGGATTAAAGGCTCACTTTCTGGGATTAAAGGCATGAGAGACCATGCTTGGCTGTATCCTTGAACATATGGATTTCTGCCTCTGGAATGCTAGGATTAAAGGCGTGTGCCACCACTGCCTATCCTCTATGTTTAATATTGTGGCCATTCTGTCTCTGACCCCAATAAGTTTATTAGGGTGCACAATAGATCGGGGAACACAATACCACCTCACTTATCTATGCCATTAACTTGGTATGCATCTCCATCTTTGCCAACAATCAGAGGCTTGTTTTTAGATGGTGTTACATATGTCTTATGTTTGTGTGTGTGTGTGTGTGTGTTATAAGTATTCATGTTCTTTTGAGTTCCTGCCTTAACTTCTCTTCTTGCTGGACTGCAACTCTAAAGTAAAATAAGCTTTTATTCTTGCCCCAGCCAGCAGGGTCTCAACTGGGGTGACCCACCCGCGAAAGAGAATGAAAGGGAGACATGAAGGAAGACAGCAAGACAGGGTTCTGATCAAGCTGCAAATTTTATTCTCCTCAGCAAGGCTTATATAGCATGGGAGGGGGAGGGGGCAGGAAGGAGGGAAGGGATGCAAGACATGCAGGATGTGCAGCTGAGGGGTGACATGTACCTGAAGGGGGAATATGTAGCTGAAGAGGGGCGTGCAGGTCGTGAAGCTGCAGGATGTTGTGCTAGGTGATAAGCACTGGTCAGGGCCCATTGTTCTGTTGCTATGCTACCTAACCGTGGGATCTTCTTTATCTTTGGGGGCATCTGATTTAGGGCCTGTGGCTTGTTCTCTGGCCTAGCTAGTACTTTTCCATGGGTCATGTTTGGTTCCTGACATATTCTCCCAGTTGTTTTTGATGGTGGTGATGTATCAAAACAATAGCAACTTAGTAAGACAAACATGAAGTTGCAGAGATTCTTCCATGATTTGAATTTGTCCATGATGTTTAATACTCTAATGTATTAGTATTATACAAGAAATTAGAATTTCTAAGTGTCATCAGAAAGCTATAGAGACTTGAAACTTATTCTCTAACAGATTATGTATGAAAGATACTTGACAGATACTTTAAAAATTCTGATTAGAATCTCATAACTTTATATGTCAGTAAGATCCATAGATGAAATTTTCATAAAATAATTCTTATGAAAGCCTGAATCCTTTCCTCTGAGGTATGATGTTACATGAACATCTGAAGTAACAAATTATATCCATTCACCACCATTGTTTTTTTTTTTTTATGTAGAAGGCCAAAGTAAAT